CCTGTACAGCCTTCAGAACCACGGGCAAATTACACCTCTTTTCTTTATATAATTACCCTATTTCAGGTATTTATAGCAATGCGAGAATGGACTAATATGAAGTACATACAAACAACTATATAAATCACCCTGCATAATGCCTGATGCAGAAAAATTTCGCAGCTAACATCTATGTGTCAGGATAGTATAATAGCTTAGGAGTGTGACTATTCTTGTCAAATCCCAACTCGGCTACTTATTTAGCTGTACAACCAGGGGCAACTTTTTAAACCTCTCTAAGCCTCAATTTTATAAGTGCATGTATAAACTACAACTATGAATGGGTTTTGTACAATACAAAGAACTCATTATAACATCTGACCCACAATAAGCACAATAAATGTTTGTTATTATTACATTATCTTATTTAAGCATTCCAGACTTTAAAAGAGTGTATTAGCTATCCTATGATATACCCAGAATTACCAAAAGATAATGTCCAGCATTCTCAATGGGACAATGTACAATTAATCAGGGCCTTCCAACCTCTTTATTTGCATATTTTAGATAACAAATGATTAATTTATTTCTTAAACAGAAGCTTCTGTAATGCAGCTATGGGAAAAATACTACTTTTAAAAAAACAAACTGTCATCATGAAGACACTAAAAAGTAACTTACTATTAGAAGCAGAAAACAAAAGTATTTTTAACTGTTTGACAACTAATGTGCAAGGAAAAAAATGGACTATAAAATATAGGAAAAATATAAAGACAGAATAGGCTACTATTAAAAAACAAGAATTTTTAAAAAGGAAAATGGCTTAAAAAAAGAATTGCAGGGAAAGAAATGGAAGGCTTAAAATCTGTACAGGATATAGGAAAAAGTAGAATTTAAAATGATAAAAAATGAGGCAATGACATAGAAGACACTTGAGAGCAGTAAGAATATAGAATGTTTAAAAAGGGAAGTAGAGAAGTGAAAAGAATAAAGGGGCATTTTCTAACATCCTACTTAGTAAGAGCCTGAATGCTTTCACCCTAAAATTGGGAACAAGGCAAGGATATTCAGACTTACCACTCCTATTCAGCATCATGTGGGAAGTCCTTGTCAGTAAAATAAAGCAAGAAAAATAAAAGCTGTACAGATTGAAAAGGAAGAAATGAAACTGTCTTTATTTGCAGACAATGTGACTGTCTACAAAGGAAATCACAAAAAACCTAAAGCTGCTAAAAGTAATTAGTGAATGTACCAAGGTTATAGGATAGAGATCAGTATAGAAAATCTATTGTATTTCCATACACTAGCAATAAGCCACTGGAAAACAAAATTTGAAAAATACTACCAATAGTTCAACAACAACAAAAAAAAAAGAAAAAAAAAGAAAGAAAGAAAAAGTACTTAAGGTACAAACCTAAGAAAATATGTACAGGATTGATATGCTGAAAATAAAAAACACTGATAAAAGAAATCAAAGAAGATCCAAATAAATAGATATACTCAATACTTGTTAAAAAGTCATTTCTCAATAAAGTTATTTACAAATTAAACACAACCCCAATCAATACCCCAGCAGGATTTTTTATAGACATACAAAAGCTGATTTTCAAATGTATACGAAAAGGCAAAGAAACTAGGATTGCCCAAACAATTACGAAAAAGAAGAAAAAAGTCAGTGGGTTCACAATACCTGATTTTAAGACTTACTTTTAAGCTATAATAATTAAGGCAGTATGATATTGGCACAGACAAATAGGTCAATGAAATCAAAGAGAGATTCCAGAAAAAGACTCACACAAAAATATCAAATGTTAGACAAACACATTGTAATTCAATGACAAAATGATAATTTTAACAACAAATCACATTGGATCAAATGAACATCCACACGTAGAAAAAACGAACTTTGACCTGCACTTTATGTGTCACACAAAATTAACGTTAAATGGATTTTAGATCCAAACATAAAATATATATATGTAAAACATTTAGAAGAAAACAAAAGAGAAAATATTTGTGTCATGATTAGGCTGCAAATTCTTAGAAAACCAAAAGTAGGATCACGAAAAGAGAAAAAAAAAAAAAACAGATTTCATCAAAGTTAACGGTTTTGTTCTGGGAAAGATACTGTTAAAGAGAATGAAAACGAAAACTATAGATTAGGAGAAAATATGTGCAAATCATATATCTCACAGAAGACTTCTAGAGAATATACAGATGCTCCTTGACTGACAATGGGCTTATGCCTCAATTAATCTACTGTAAGTTAAAACATAATAATTGACAAATGCATTTAATACACTTAATCTACCAAACATCACAGCTTAGCCTAGCTGACCTTGGACATGTTCAGTATACTTACATTAGCCTATGGTTGAGCCAAATCATCTAATACAAAGCCTATTTATTCATCAATACATAACACTTTTGCATATTTATGAGATATGTGTGATATTTTCTTGTATGCATAGACTGTGTAATGATCATGTCAGGGTATTTAATATATTCACCACCATGAGCATTTATCATTTGTGTATGTTCAGAACATTTCACTTCCTCAATTCTAGCTACTTTGAAATGATCAATATATTGATGTCAACTATAAGCACCATACTAAACGATCAAACATTAAACTTACTACTTCTGATTATATGTTTGTACCCATTAACCAACTTCCATTCATCCACTCTCTGGCCCCACATCCCATGCATCCTTCTCGGCCTCTGGTGACTACCATTCTACTCTCTATCTTCCTGACATCAACTTGTTTAGCTCCCACATAGGAATGAGTGCCTGTTATATTTGTCTGTGTCTAGCTTATTTCATGTACTCTAGTTCTATCCATGTTGCTGCAAACAACACTTCATTCTCTTCTATGGTTGAATATTATTCTGGTGTGTAATTATACCAAATTCCCTTTATTCATCCATCCACTGATGGACACTTAGGTTGATTTCTTACTGTTGCAATAAACACAGGGGTACAAATATTTCTTTAATATACTGATTTCCTTTCCTTTGAATATATACCAAATAGTGGAATTACTGGACTGTGTGGTAGTTCTAATTTTAGTTTTTTGAGAAATCTCCATACTGCTTTTGCATAATGGCTGTACTAATATACATTGTCACCAAAAGCATATGAGAGTTCCCTTTTCTCCACATCCTCACCTGCATCCATTATTTTTTTCTCTTTTTAATAGCCATTCTACCTGGGGTAAGATGATACGGCATGTTTGGTTCTGACTTGCATTTCTCTGATAATTAGTGATGTTAAGCATTTTTTCATATACCTGTAAGCCATTTATATATCGTCTTTCAAGAAGCATTTGTTTAGATCCTTTGTCCACATTAAATGGGATTAGTTCCTTTGAAGTTGAGGTGTTTAAGTTCCTTGCATATTCTGGATATTAGTCATTTGCTAAGTCAATAGTTTGTAAAATTGTCTCCCATTTGTCAGGTTGGGTCTTCATTTTGTTGATTGTTTCCTCTAATGTACAGAAGATTTTTAGTTTAATATACTTCCATTTGTCTATTTTGGGGTTTTTTTGGTCCATGTTTTAGGAATGTCAGCCATAAAACTTTTGCCTAGACAAATGTCCTGGAGTGTTTCTCCTATTTTCTTCTAGTATTTTAATAGTTGTGGGTCTTATGTTTAAGTCTTTAAGTCTTTAATCGATTTTGAGTTGATTTTTTATATGGTGAGAGAGAAGGGCCATTTCATTCTTTTGCACAGTTATCCAGTTTTCCTAGCACCATTTATTAAAGGTGGTGTCCTTTCCCCAGTGTATGCTCTTGGCACCTTTGTAATAAATCAGTTGGCTATAAATACATGGGTTTACTTCTGGGTATTTTATGCTGTTCCATTGGTATATATGTCTGCTTTCATATCAACACCATGCTGTTTTGGTTACTATAGCCTTGTAATAAACGTTGAAATCAGGGAAGATGATGCCTCCAGCTTTGTTCTTTTTGCTTAGGATTGCTTTGGCTATTTGGGTTATTTTTTGGTTTCACACAAATTTTAAGATTATTCTGTTTCTGACAGGGACTAGACTCTTAAAATGGAGCCATGCTCCAGCTGCCTAAGACTCAGGGGGTGCATAGAATCCAGCAAGAGCACCCTTTCTAGAGCAATGCCATTGCACGAACTTCAGGGAGCTCCCTGTGCCAGTCTTGGGGCCCATGGGGTTCAAGAACTCTCCCACAGTTAGGATTACAGGAGTCTGCAGCAAGAATGTGGACACCTAGGGATCTCTCACTTACCCCAACTCTACACTGAGGAGCCTCTCCAGGCTTCTGGTTGATCCTAGCAAGGCTGTCCACCTCTCCTCCCTCTCCTCAGGTGTTTCCGGTCACTTCTCTGCTGAACTCTAGCATTCTCTTTTAGATGTTTTATTTAAAGTGTGATTACCTACTCACTATTTTGGTTCTTCTTTGTGGAGAAGTGTCCTGTGCCTCTAGTCAGCCATCTTCAAAAGCCTCCAAAAAAAAGGAGTATCTTATGTACCACACATCACTAGCCCAGGAAGAGATCAAAAGTAGAAGTATGTCAAAATTGCAATAGTTTTGCACCACTGTAAAATCTAAACTTAAGTCAGGGACCATATCAGACAATTTTCTGATTTTATAACAGTGTGAAAGCAATATGTATTCAGTAAAAACTATACTTCAAATTTTGAATTCTTGGGCTAGCAATTCCGTTTTCCTGGGCTAGCAATATGTACGATATTCTCTCATGATGCTGGACAATGGCAGTGAGCTACAGCTTCCAGTCAGTCATGTGATCACAAGGTTCTGATCACTGATTCTCTAGAGTGTACCCTATTTTTGACCTAGGATATTTTCAATTTGCAACAGGTTTATCAGGATGTAAGGCCACTGTAAGTTGAGGAGCATCTGTGTTTCTTTCGCCTGACTCTACCTCTCACATCAAAATATTATCACTTTAAAAACTCTTCAGGTGTAATAATTCATGCCATACATTACTGAAAAACATATTTAAGATAGTATGTTCTATACCTTATACGGAGCCAGAATTCTCTGCCTGAACTTTTCAACTGTTTCTTGACCCATAGAAGACCACGTATTGACAAATGCTTCAGCTTTGTCTTGTCTAAGATGAATGTTCTCTAACTGCTGCTGCAAAGCTGCTGGCTTCACATTGTGATATACTGCCTATTAAAAAGAAAAAAAAATTACATATGTCCCTCATCTTCATACAGAAACCTTAAACTATAAAAAATACAAAATTATTTTTAAATGACTTAAGTCAAAAAAAAAAAAAAAACCTCATGGTCCTATTACAGACATTTTTGGTTATTTTACAAATAATAAAATACACGACCAAGAGCTGGAAGATTCAAGATTAAATGGCCTAAATTATTCAAGATGACTTTTTTTTTCATTTTTGCCTATGCTTTGCTTTGGCTATGTAAATAGTACCCTAATGAAAATTTCATTTATTTCACTTAATCATTTCAAATAAGTATACAACAGTTTTGTTTCCCAACTAACAATTTTTTTCCAAGAAGCACTTTCTCAAAATTACCTTATCTATCAATTTTCTACAGGCTATATAATTAAAAGTTGTAAAAAACTTTAACAGTGATACCAGTTCTGTTTCTTACATTATTCTGGAACACCATGCTATGCTGTCCTACTCAATGATCCTTTTCTCCTACTGAACACCCACCAAAAATTAGAACCGCATTTATCTTTGTGATCTATAATGTATTTAAGGCTGTAGTAGATAACTGGCAGCTTGCCCTAATATGTTCATTAAAATGCTCATGAAGTTACAAAACTATTTAAACTTTTATTTCACAAATACTATTTTTAATCAACCAACAAGAATTTATGAGGATCTATTTTAAGCCCACCAATGTGTTAGGCTTATATAAGATACACAAAAATATGATCCTGCTCCCCACAAATTAGAATCTGGTGAAGGAGGCATAACTAACATATATGAACTGCTGAAAGACTAACAGTGTGCTCTACTGTGATGAGCCAAGGATTTTTAAAAATCCAAATAAAGGAACACTGAAAGTATAAGGAGTCACAGCTCAAGTAAAGGAGATGAGCCTTGAATAAGAGCTTAAATCATGAAGTGAATTTAGATGAGAAAAAGGGATGCAGAAGGCAGCTTAGTAGCACATAACATGACAATACTTCTTTTCTAAATGTCTGTCTTACCAGCCTAGTCAATACATCCCCCAAATCATTTAGTATCTTAAGTAAAATACGTCCATTTTTCCATTATACCAAGTACCAACGAATTAAAATCTTTCATAACTGTCTCAAATCAATGAAGTCTCAATTCATATTTTCAAATACTTTATAATATTCAGGTATTTTTACATTGAAATTGTTAACTAAAATATATTCACAGCTTCCATCTTGCATACTTTTTAATTAAAAAAACAGAATGTTAAAGATATGATAACAATACAAATATGTAGTAAACAAATCATGGTTAGAAAATTTGAGGCAACAAAAATACCTGTTCTAAAATAAATGATATTGTTTCAAGAACTAGGTGAAGATCTTGTTTCTCTAGAGAAAATGCCACTTGAAGTTTTTCTTCCTCTTCTTCACTGAAACTGCTCTCAGCCTATAATACAAATAGCAATCTATTACATTAGCACATATTCAGACATTCAAAATTCGTACTTGACAGAAGATTCATTTATTCGTATATGAGATGAGAACTTTAAAGGAAAATACAAGGTGAAAAAAAATTGATGTGCATGTAAATTTATAAAATGTATGATGCTCATTTCTAAACCTTTGTAAACAAAATAAATTAGATTAAATAACTATCTTGTGGTGACTCAGGTCATAATTACGAGCATCAGAGCCCTGTGCTAAGGGGCTCATGTATCCTAAAGAACTGCTGAGATACATGGATGATTTTTAACTAGAGCAAAAACAAATCTAAGACTTCTGTCCTTTTATGTTTCTTGGGTCTGATTGTCATAACTCTTCCATTTCATCTCATGATCAGCAGTCATTTCTTAAAGCTGCCTACATGCCCCATGACAGCATCTTCAAACCAACCCCCAGTTTGCTATTTTTAGTGTGCCATGGTCAGGAACCCAGAGAACTGACCTCTCAAAACTAGATATACAGCACTATTACCTCAACAGGCTTCGTGTGAGGGCCTCAAAGTCTCTCCTATGAAGGCAAGTACATGAGTTTTTTTATTCCATGAGCTGTGACAGTTATTTTTGAAGTGCAAAGGCCACGAATGTTTATTTCTAAGTTCCCAGCTATGGAAGTTCATCTGACTTCCATTAGTATTTCCCAATGCAAACTGCTGGCACGCTGAATGAGACAATTCTTTGTGCAGGACTGCCCTAAACACTGCAAAATATATATATTTTTTGAGACGGAGTCTCGCTCTGTCACCCAGGCTGGACTGCAGCGGCGCAATCTCGGCTCACTGCAAGCTCCACCTCCCGGGTTCACGCCATTCTCCTGCCTCAGCCTCCCAAGTAGCTGGGACTACAGGCACCTGCTACCACGCCCGGCTAATTTTTTGTATTTTTAGTAGAGATGGGGTTTCACCATGTTAGCCAGGATGGTCTCGATCTCCTCACCTCGTGATCCGCCCATCTCGGCCTCCCAAAGTGCTGGGATTACAGGCGTGAGCCACTGCGCCCGGCCAACACTGCAAAATATTTCTAAAGTCCCTGGACATTAAATACCAGCAGCAGCCTCCACACATTGTAACAAACAAACAAACAAAATCTCCATGTATTTGTATATGCCAGGATGAGCCAGGAAGATGGCCAAAGAGGACTCCCAGATCCATAATCTGGCATGCCCACATTCTATACCTAAGTTGTCTTTGTTCCCTCATACTGATTCCTACTCGGGATTCCAAGGAATCAGTCTGGACAAAAACATATTTTCTGCCCATAAACAGATCAAACTTGGTAAAATAAAAGTACCAGTAGAGGGGCAACAAAATCCCAAAACCTCTTCACCAATCTGCCTGCCTCAGTTTCACTATTCTAAGAATTCTGCCTCAAGGCAAAGGCCAACTTGATGGAGTTGGGGCACATAAAAGAAAGTTGGCAGATCCTGAAATGCAGTGCAAACTTGACTGAAGAGCCCTTATCAAAATAGGAGCCCCTCTAAAAGATGATCCCCTGAAACTGTACAGGAGAAAAACAATTACACCTTTCCTGACATTTTCTTAGCAGGCAAGTATTCACATACATATGTTTCTTTATTTAAAAGTACCTGGACATTAAATGCCAGCAGGACCGGTAACTTCACTTTTCAACAAGCACCTCTATTCCTCTCCACTCCCCTACCTCTGATGACAAAGCATTCAAGCTCCCCCATGGAATTCTTCAGCCACTCAGTTAACTCTAAGATAGATACTAACTCATTCTCAACTCCATACATGACTGAGAACGTCAAAGACAAACATCACAATTTTCTGTGCAAGTGCTCCACTCTCCCTAGTGTGAAGAACAAAGGATGTGTGTAAGAGTTTCTTGTCCATATTGTTACACACAAGCAAGCACCCACCAGCTCAAGAAATAAAGCAGAATATCTGTATAGCCCACATCATACGCTTTTGGGCCAATTTATGAAATGTTCTATACCCTTTCTTGAGGTTTCGTGTAATAAGGGACAGAGTTACGGAGCCAAGCTGCCTTACTAGCTAGCTGTGTGACCTTGGGAAAGTTACTTAACCAATCTCTGTCTCTATCTTGGTTACCTCATAGATAAAATGAAGATGACCAGAGATGACCACTGTACCTACTTTTTCAAGTTGCCGTAAGGATTAGATGAGCTAGTAACACAAAGCCATTAGCATCACACCAGTGAAAAAGAAACCAATGTAACTTTATGAATAGCAAATACCACAGAATGTTGCTGCTATCATTGCAGTTTCTCCTTTCTCTCCATCCACATCACAAATTCCTTAGAAAAAGGAATATATTATAGAAGACTGAGGTTTGTTTTGTGTTTTCCACAGCAAGGAAAATAATTAACTCTAAGAATATTTACTGAGTGCCAACTATACTAGTAGCAATGTATTAGGAATGGGAACTATAAAGATGAGTAAGACATAATCCTCAAGATATTTAAAACCAGAGGAAGACCCATTAATAGGTTTAAGGGATTTGGTCGCCTTCTAATCATGAAACAAATACTTATGAGGCAGTACTAAAATTAGGTGAGAATGAATTAAAGCACAGAAGAAAGAACAAATTGCTGAGCCTGAGACTGTGAAATCCTTGAAGGATGAACAGGTTACTCAGTAAAGAGAAGAAGGCCATTTATAGGCAAGGGAAAGAATATATGCATAGATACATTGCTGAAAAAGTTCATGGCATGTTGTAGTAAATAGGCACCATCCAGTGTAACTGGAGCACTTACAAAATGAGACTGTAGACTGCAGCCATATTATAATGGGACTTGTACACAATGTTAAGCATTTTAAACTTTTCTCCATGGGGCAATGGATAGTCACTGATGGTTTTGAACACTGTGAAAATTATAATCCACCTTTGTTTTAGGGAAAAAAAAATTAGAAAGTAATTTATATAGTATTATGAAGCAGTAGAAAACAAGAAGACTATAGGCAGGGAAATCAGTTTGAAGGTAACTATTGTCATCTAAAAAACAGGTAATAAGGATTTGACCTAGAAGTGTGAGAACTTGGATTTGAAAGACACTTCGAAGGGGAAAGGCATGGTTTTGAGGTTGGCTCTTGGCGAGGAAAAAGAAGAGGAAAGAGTAAGAGTCTTGGTTCTCACTAGATGATGATACCCGGCACTGCATAGAGCAGTTAGTGTGTGCTCCATAAATACGTCAGATGGAATCAAATTTTTATAACTTGATAAAGAAATTAACTTGGATTGGGCCAGGTAGAGAATTACAAAGCATTCACATGTCCAAAACAACCATACCCTTAAAATAAAAGTGAAAGAAGAACAAAATTAACTGAAAGATTAAATACTACTTGATAGAAAAAACCACAGAATTATTTTTAAGGGGAAAAATCAAACCAAGACATCAGAATTTTTCCCTAAAGTAGATTTTGTAGAACATTAGTCCCAAAATACATACCAAAATAAAACAGATCCAAGGTCAAAACACATTTGGAAAATGTTACCTGCCATAATCACCCTCACATACGTACCACAAACACTAGCATCTAAAATACTCTGAAAAGTTCCATAATTTAAAAAATTTAACTTTATTGAAGACAGAGTTTCTCAAACTTTTGACCACAAAACATTATCAAATCTTCCACAGAACCAGTGTCCCTAAGAACATACTGGAAAAGTTAGGGCTTTGCAAAAAGTTCTCCAAATAATCAGACTTTCAATTAAATCAGAAGGAAGATTACAAGGTGTGGAAACACAAAAATACAAACCTTCAGGTGAAGTTTCTGAAGAATCCGAGTGAGCAACCGTGGAAATCTTCCTATATCTATTGCATTGATCAGTGACACTGCTTTCTTCATGCTAAAGAAAATTATAAAACAAAGTTTTAAAATGAGCTTTCCAAGTAGAACTGTATTTTCTACAGTTGTCTATAAGTTTTCATTCCAACAACTCTGATTGCTATATGGTAAATCTGAGTGAAATAAAGAAAAACAGATGACAGCCAGCAAAAAGCGCAGGGCAACCTGAACATTTCCAAAAAGATGCCCCCAAAATTACTTCTGCTGAAAAGGTCCATTTGGCAAATTTTCTCTTGCTTTTGGGCAAATCAAACTACTAGGGAAAGCTTGTACTCTGCAGGGGAAGAGCATTAATCTAGTAGAGTGTTTATATAACCACTTAACCCAAAAACGGAACTCTGAAAGTGGTGGGAGGAGAGGAATAGCAATTACGGCAATTACACCAAAAACATAAAGAATACTACAAGGCAAGTATCTTTTCAAATACTATGTACAAAATCATTTGGGGTTACTAAGGACATAGTTACTTTAAAACCCTCTTTCGATTGTAATAATCAACTTCATTATTACAATAATAATCAATTTTGAGATAGGGTCTCGCTCTGTCACCCAGGTTGGAGTGCAGTGGCATGATCTCACTTCACTACAGCCTCTGTCTCCTGGGTTCCAGGAATCCTCGTGCCTCAGCCTCCCAAGTAGCTAGAACTACATGCACAGGCCACAACGCTGGCTAATTTTTGTATTTTTTGTAGAAATGGGGTTTCGCCCTGTTGCCCAGGCTGGTCTCTAACTCCTGAGCTCAATCAGTCCTGCGGTGGCTCACGCCTATAATCCCAGCACTTTGCAAGGCCAGGGAGGACGTATCACCTGAAGCAAGGAGTTCCAGACCAGCCTAGCCAACATAGTGAAACCCTATCTTTACTAAAAATACAAAAAAATTAGCTGGGCAAGGCAGTGGGCGCCTGTAATCCCAGCTACTTGGGAGGCTGAGGGACGAGAATCGCTTGAACATAAGAGGGGGAGGCTGCAGTGAGCCAAGATGGCGCCATTGCCCTCCAGCCTGCACAAGAGGGAAACGCCTTCTCAGGAAAAAAAAAAAAAAGAGACATCTGCCAGCCTCAGTCTTCCAAAGTGCTGGGATTACAGGCATGAGCCACAGCACCTGTCCTGTAACAATCAACTTTAAATGATGTGATGAGAACAATTCTTTACTGCACCATATTGGATACTGTTTACTGATGTAGCAGTGTTCCCCAAGACATTGGTATGAGGAAAGAAACTGGCAATCAGAACCAAAGTGAGGCAGGAAAATAGGGTCGGGAGGCTGGGAACGTAAGGCTGATTCACACTTCAGCTATGACAGGAAATGTCCTCTATATAGGGCATAGGCGGAGTAAATGACTTTGTAACTTTACTTCATCCTCTTCATTTACATAGGGAGAACACCAAGTAACCAATGGAATCCTCTAGAGGTTATTTAAATTCCCAAAAATTGTGTAGGGGCCCTTCAGCCCCTATGCTCAGGCAACTTCCACACTGTAGAGTGTAGTTTCATTTTCAATAAATTTCTGCATTCTTTCCTCGCTTTGTTTGTGCTGCTTCTCCAGTTCTTTGTTCAAGACGCCAAGAACCTGGACACCCTCCACTGGTAACAAAAGGAATCCAGGAAGAAGGAAAAACTTTAAAATAACTCTTTTCTTCTGGAAGATTCCCGCCCAATCCAAGCACAAAGAAATTATTTCCGAACACTATTTTGCCTATATACTTCAGTACTTTTTCTGTATCCACACACCACCTGCACTATTACTTATTTTTTCACAAATTAAGTCTTTTTTTACTTAAATAATGTTAAAGGGGAACTTTATGTCACCACCATGGACAACCAGCTTAATCTACCATAAGTAGAAATTAACTAAAAATTTGTTTAAAATGCAAACAAAAGCAAATGCTATCAAAGCCAGGCTAGATTCTGTTACCAATCAAAAATTCGGTCCCATATTCGATCCTGATTTAAAAGGGGTATTAACACATGTTGGTCCAGCACCAGTGTGAGCCTTTCTCACCACAGGGTCCGAACGGGAACTGAAATCGGAAACGGAATACCGTCCCACGTGATTCAGCAGCACTCAAGGCAGCGCCCGGGAACTTCTGATACCAAACTCCGCAAACAGTGACGCAGACCCCATGCTTGCAGACCACACGCTTCCATACAGACCTCAGCTGCCAAGCGCACTGTGAGCCCCACAGGTGGACCACCGTGAAGGTAGAGGCGCTACACGGCCCCACGCACTCCGCAGACCCAGCATCGCGACCTCGGCAGCCCACCCCACCCAACCGGGTCCGCCGCGGCGGCCAGGCGGCAGGCAGCAAGGTCAGCCTTATGCGAGCCTGATCCGCGCCTTCCTGGGCGCGGCTACCGCAGGAGCTCAGCGGATCAGCTACCTGGGGCTCTCCCGTAGGATCAGCGCCGCCGGCACGGCCATCCTCGACTTTCTCGCACTGCCGCCGTCTGTCAGCTGCGCCGAAGCTAGACAATGGCGGCCGCGGCGGACGGAAAGCCGGAAGGCCCAAGCCGCGCCGGGGCCGCTTTAGAGCTCTGGGGCTTCTGCGACCCCGGCGCCCGGATACCTGTCCCGCAGTCCTGGAGGGCGGAGAGGGCGGCCCAGTTGTCCTCCCGACACTACAATCGTGTTGGACTTAAGTCTGTGCATATATATGTCTTTATATTTATGTATCATATATGTATGTACATACGTGGACAGGTGTGTGTGTGTGTGTGTGTGTGTGTAATAGGGCAGGTTTAAGCAAGTCCATGTACAGACCTGGATAGATATGTGTGTGTATGTATGTGCATATATATATATATATATATATATTATTTTTAATAAGGCAGGTTTAAGCAAGCCCATGTGTACATGCTTGATGCTTGGATACGTGGTGTGTGCGTGTGTGGGTATATTTTTTTAATAGGGCAGGTTTAAGTGAGCCTGTGTGTACATACTTGGATAGGTAATGTGTGGGTATTTTTTTTTCCAGCGTTTGGCCTGCGGAGAGGCAAGCGGTTCAGCCAGCTCCCCTGAGCCTGCCCAGGAAGCTGCGCATCACCCCTCAGGAGAGGTGGTGCCTCCAGTTCCACCCTAAGCACCGTGCCATCAACCCCTCCTGTATCTGCATCTGCAGGGCTTGTAGTATGTACGTTCAATTCCTTCAGCAATGTTCAATGAATGAGCGCCTACTGTGTACCAAGCGCTGTTCTAGGCACGGGAGATACAAAAGGCCAAAATTCCTGCTCTCAGGGTTTGCCAGCAGTCTAAATGGACAAGTATTTGTTGCACCCTTCTTTAGAGTCTGACACTGCAGAGCAGGGGAGATGAATCGCTGCAGTGAGTGATGTCAAGGACCTCATCCAAGACTAGGGAGACACCATGTTTGCATAAATACCTTGATCTGCCTTTGAGAAAAACATGGAGTGAGTTAAAGGAATTCAGATGTGGGAGCAGTGAAAGGCATCAGAGGTAAGATCAGGAAAAGCTTCCTAGGGCAGGAGGCAAATGCGGTGGGTCTGCAGAGATGTGGAGGTGTGGAGGGTGAGGCAATGTGTTTCAAGTCAGTAGAGCAGAAGGACGGTCTGACGTTTGAAGAACAGGAATTTAGACTAGAAAAAGCCTTTAATGACTGGTTGTGGCATGTGCACTTAATCTGGTGAGAAATGGGTAGCCATTAAATGTTTTTTCTATCCATTAAATGTTTTGAAGCGAAGAAATTTTGCAATGGGAGTTGGTTTTTTGAAGGTTGCTGTCAGCAGAATGATGATTGGAGTGGAAAGAGGTAAGCAGGAGGGCTACCTGGAAACTACTGCAATAATCTATGGAAAGCAATAAAATCCTGTGGTACTAAAAAGGCATTGGTGAATTAAAAGATAGTGGATGGATTCGTTACATTTCAGCAGTAGAATATTCAAGAGCTGCCAAAAAATTTAATTTTCCTTCCTAATTATGTTTTACTTAAATTATTATTTAAATTAGTTGGCATTCCTGGAGCAGCCCAAGAACAACCTAACTGAAAGGAGAAACCAGATTGCAAATTAAATGTGAATAATCTCCACATGGATAATTGAGTCAATTATACAATGTGTTGAACACATACAAATACATTTAGTTCCACAACACTCTACGGTCCCCAATGTATGCATATCTGAAAAAGATGTATGTGAATCTACATAAATTATAGGTCTCTGATCCAAACACAGATTACCTCATCTGCAACTTAAAAGGGTCCCAGTTCCCTCATTCTTTGAATCATTTCCCTTTTGTCTTGATTCCTTTCCTGAAGTAGAACCACTAACCAACTAAAATTGTTTCAAATCCCTAATGAAGTTCACCCTCTGATTGCCTTAAAAATATACAGCCAGAATTTTGAGCAAAAGAGCATCAAGATAGCTCAAATCCCAAATCCATGTAACCTTGGACAAAGTACTTAACCTCAACAAGTTTCTTATTCTCAATCTGTAATGGGGATGACAATAATGTCTGTTCCTCTGGATCTTAATGCGATTTAAATAATGTGATACGTGTGTAAAATAAATACTCTACCCTCCTTAGAACACAAAACCCAGACCTCTAAGGTTTTCACAAAAGCAAGTCTCCAGTAGACACAGAGGCCACTTACTCTAATTCTCTTCATTTTCAATGATGAACTGATTACTTCTTATTACCATGTGTTTCTATAAAGGCGTGATGCTGTGAATAGTTTCACACCTCAAATGAGAACCTCACCCAAGACATTTCTGCATTCTCTGGAGTATAGGCATCTATGTCCATGAAAAGTCCTTTTAGTTGCCTGCTATTATTGTGTGGGAGTCTTAAGTCTCTTCGTAGGCTCTTCAAGAACTTGCTTTAGAATGTGGGTGCTCCTATATTGGGTGCATATATATTTAGGATAGTTAGCTCTTCTTGTTGCCTTGATCCCTTTACCATTATGTAATGCCCTTCTTTGTCTTTTTTGATCTTTGTTGGTTTAAAGTCTGTTTTATTAGAGACTAGGATTGCAACCCTGGCTTCTTTTTGCTTTCCATTTGTTTGGTAAATATTTTTCCATCCCTTTATTTTGAGCCTATGTGTGTCTTTGCACGCGAGATGGGTCTCCTGAATACAACACACCGATAGATCTTGCTTCTTTACCCAATTTGCCAGTCTGTGTTTTAATTGGGGCATTTAGTCCATTTACATTTAAGGTTAATATTGTTATGTCTGAATTTGATCCTGTCTTATGATACTAGCTGGCTATTTTGCCCATTAGTTGATGCAGTTGCTTCACAGTGTCGATGGTCTTTACATTTTGGTATGTTTTTGCAATGGCTGGTACTGGTTGTTCCTTTCCATGTTTAATGCTTCCTTCAGGAGCTCTTATGAGGCAAGCTGGTGGTGACAAAATCCCTCAGCATTTGCTTGTCTGTAAAGGATTTTATTTCTCCTTCGCTTATGAGGCTTAGTGTGGCTGGATATGAAATTCTGGGTTGAAAATTCTTTTCTTTAAGAATGTTGAATATTGGCCCCCACTCTCTTCTGGTTTGTAGGGTTTCTGCAGAGAGATGTGCTGTTAGTCTGATGGGTTTCCCTTTGTGGGTAAGCTGACTTTTCTCTCTGGCTGCCCTTAAAATGTTTTCCTTCATTTCAGCCTTGGTGAATCTGACTATGTGTCTTGGGGTTGCTCTTCTCGAGGAGTATCTTTGTGGTGTTCTATATGTTTCCTGAACTTGAATGTTGGCCTGCCTTGCTAGGTTGGAGAAGTTATCATGGATAATATCCTGAAGAGTGTTTTCCAACTTGGTTACATTCTCCCCATCACTTTCAGGTACACTAATCAAACATAGGTTTGGTCTTTTCACATAGTCCCATATTTCTTGGAGGCTTTGTTCGTTCCTTTTCACTCTTTTTTCTCTAATCTTGTCTTAATGCTTTATTTCATTAAGTTGATCTCCAATCTCGGATATCCTTTCTCCCACTTGATTGATACAGCTACTGATACTTGTGTATACTTCACAAAGTTATCTTGCTGTGTTTTTCAGTTCCATCAGGTCATTTATATTCTTTTCTAAACTTGTTATTCTAGTTAACAGTTCCTGTAACATTTTATCAAGGTGCTTAGCTTCTTTGCATTGGGTTAGAACATGCTCCTTTAGCTCAGAGGAGTTTGTTATTACCCACCTTCTGAAGCCTACTTCTATCAATTTGTCAAACTCATTCTCCATCCAGTTTTGTTCCCTTGCTGGTGAGGACTTGCGATCCTTTGAATGAGAAGAGGCATTCTGGTTTTTGGAATTTTCAGCCTTTCTGCACTGGTTTTTTGTCACCTTCGTGGATTTATCTACCTTTGGTCTTTGATGTTGTTGACCTTCAGATGGGGTTTTTGTGTGGGTGTCCTTTTTGTTGATGTTAATGCCATTGTTTTTTGTTTGTTAGTTTTCCTTCTAACAGACCCCTCTTCTGCAGGTCTGCTGGAGTTTTCTGGAGGTCCACTCCAGATGCTGTTTGCCTGGGTATCACCAGCAGAAGCTGCAGAACAGCAAAGATTGCTGCCTGCCCCTTCCTGTGGAAACTTTGTCCCAGAGGGTACCCACCAGATGACAGCTGGAGGTGTCTGTCTACCCCTGCTGGGAGGTGTCTCCCAGTCAGGAGGCACGGGGGTCAGGGACCCACTTGAGGAGGCAGTCTGTCCCTTAGCAGAGCTCAAGTGCTATGTTGGGAGATCCACTTCTCTCTTCAGAGCCAGCAGGCAGGAATGTTTTAAGTCAGCTGAAGCTGCACCCACAGCCACCCTTTTCCCCAGGTGCTCTGTCCCAGGGAGATGGGGGTTTTATCTATAAGCCCCTGACTGGGGCTGCTGCCTTTCTTTCGGAGATGCCCTGCCCAGAAAAGAGGAACCTAGAGAGGCAGTCTGGCTACAGTGGCTTTGCCAAGCTGTGGTGGGTTTGCACCCAGTTGGAACTTCCCGGCGACTTTGTTTACCCTGAGGGGAAAACCGCCTACTCAAGTCTCAGTAATGGTGGACGCCCCTCTGCCCACCAAGCTCAAGCATCCCAGGTCGACTTCAGACTGCTGTGCTAGTAGTGAGAATTTCAAGTCAGTGGACCGTAGCTTGCTGGACTCCATGGGGGTGGGATCCACTGAGCTAGACCACGTTGCTCCCTGGCTTCAGCCCCCTTTCCAGAGGAGTAAACAGTTCTGTCTCGCTGCCATTCCAGGCGCCACTGGAGTACAAAAAAAACTCCTGCAGCTAGCGAGGTATCTGCCCCAATAGCCTCCCAATTTTGTGCTTGAAACCCAGGGACCTGGTGGTGTCGGTACCCAAGGGAATCTCCTAGTCTGCAGGTTGCGATGACCCTGGGAAAAGAGTAGTATCTGGGCCGGATGGCACCATCCCTCATGGCACCGTCCCTCACGGCTTCCCTTGGCTAGAGAAGGGAGTTCCCTGGCCCCTTACGCTTCCGGGGTGAGACAATGCCCCACCCTGCTTCTGCTCACCTTCTGTGGGCTGCACCCACTGTCTAACTAGTCCCAATGAGATGAACCAGGTACCTCAATTGGAAATGCAGAAACCACCACTTTCTGCATTGGTCTGGCTGGGAGCTGCATACTGGAGCTGTTATTCGGCCATCTTGCCAGCCAAGTAAAATATCCATTGCAAACTTTTATGAAGTCCACCTTTTATTACATTCTGTATTAGCCTGACTTTTCTAGAAAATAAGCCTAGCTATTATACATGCTCAATTGGGAACTATAATTGCAAGGGAGTAGGAATGCAGGCAAAAGGAAACTAAGGAAAGGTAGAGAGAAAGCAAATACAGGGTGGCATGTTATCGAACTGGTTACAGCTTCAAAACCTAGCTTATTTCTCAGTACTCTGGGGTATTTCCAGAGAGGCTATTCCGAATCACTGTGTCTTAGAACAACATGGGGTTGGAGTGGAAGAAAGAAATTGAACTCTTTCCAATTTTTTCTTTCTTCATCAAAATCTGTCCTATATCTCATGCTCCTGCATTTCCAGGATATGTCACCTGGTGCCTCTAGGCAGCCCCACTGGAAAATGCAGAGCTTCCGTGGGCCCAGTAGAATAGGAACTGAGTCCTGAAGCTATAGCAGAAGAGGAACCCGTGGTTCAATCCCTGCCCATAGCCCCTTCTCGATCCCCCTCACTCTGCCCTGCCAAGGGTGGCAGTGAGTGACAGGGACTTTAAACCATGGGACTATCAAGAGTTTCCAGGGGCCATTTTGTCAGGAAAGTAGAACAACATGCTGAAGCCTTGGAAACAAGTGGGGCTGATCTTACCTGGGGAGGGACATAACTTAGAGACAGTTATAGCCTTTAGTGGAGTCTCAAAACAGGAGTTGCTTGGGCCCTAACTGCTTCAGTCTTTATTATGCAGCTTTTCCAATTCATATTCACGTAATTTTCCCAAAGTACCTCATGGCACAACTTGGAGTAAGCTCTGGTGTCAGCCCTCCCTGTATCCTGG